GCTTGGCGAAAGTTTGTTTACTTTTTTCCCAATCGATGGCAATATATTGTGGATCGTTATGACAGATGGGCGTAAGTTTTTTCCTCTCGGTGCACTACATCAATGGAGAAGTAAAAGTGGTCGAATTCCACTCCACCGTTATTAATGCATGATTTGGCAAGATTGAAAAGTTGTTAAATACTTTCACCTTATCGTTTTGTTCTTGTTTCTTCTTTTCACCGCCCCACCACGACGAGCAGGATGACAGGTATTGATAAGCTGATCACATCTACTTCGGACGAGGCCCAGAGGAGCTTGATCCGATGGAAATCTTAATAAGGGAAGAAGCGCGGACGGAATTATGGGAATGGTGGGAGGAGGAAAGGAAGCAAGAAAGTAATGGGATTTACTCTTCACTCCCAAAACTACGACCAGACTTCTTTGCAACACACAATGACGCAAACAGCAAATTCGTTGGGCAAACCACTACTTAAAACAGTAGTGTTCTTCTGTTCCCATCTCCACCGACGAGATGGGAAGAATGGTGAAGAAATAAATGAATGAAGGCGTCTGTGTGAAGAATAGTTCTTCACTCGAGCAGTTCCCACAGTGCTCGTGGAGAACAACAGATTTTAAATAAACATAATCAGTCTTACGTACGAGTGAACTTTTAAATTTGTATTTATTTTAGATGAAATCTAATTGTGCATTCTGCTTCTCTGGGGACCAGACCGAGCAGCAAATTCCTTCTGGTCCGTCGTCCTTCTCCTAATCGAATGAAGGTGGTACAAGTTTGGAGAAAACACGCAAAGAAGCAGAAGCATGGGGGGCACAACATGGCGTGTAAATAAGCAGGAGAGCTTTATTGGATGAGAAAAAGTGATTCAATTTCGACCAGGAAAGCAGCATCGGACGTGCATGAATTTTTAATAGAGACCAACACAACACTTTTGAATCATACGCATGCTAGAGCGAGATGTGGGGAGGCCGTCGTCGTCCTGGGTGGGAGATGGACTTCCAATAAGGGGAACAAATTGCGAGCGAGTTTCAAAGAGCGGTGCGTGGAGGTATCCAGTTAGTTGGATGGGGATGTGTGGGTGGTGGGTGGGTAGGTGGGAACGGCGACATTATTTATTACTGCCCGACCGACTTCCATCCACTCAATGAATTTGTAGTAAATAATTTAACTCGTGCGACGACGGCATGGGGCTGCGTCGGTGGAGCGGAAAGACAACAATAATGAGTACACAAATAGCTAGAGTAGAAAACCAGGAGTTGAAATTAATCAAGGAGTCGTCTTCTTCACAAAAACTAAATATTTGCTTTATGCCATGTTGCTTTTGCTGGGGAGAAGCAAGCACAAGCCTCGAGGGCGTGTTGGAATTTTGGAATGTGCACGGGCAAAACGTGACCTTTCGTCGGAACGGTGCATTAATTTATTCTCGTCTCCTAAAAGAAAGTACCGCCGCTGTAGCCCAAAGTCTTTTTAAAGTTGAAATAATACCGGTGAAATTAGTCATGAGCAAAAAAAAACAGGGAGGAGAAGGATAGATTATTATGAAAGTTGGAGAGGCAGCTGGGGCAGGTACGTCTCATTATTATTATTAGTCTACCTCCCTCCTACCTGTTTCAGACTCCAATTAATGAAAACCTGGGAAGAAAGTTTGTCGATGCATCAAAAAAGCGAAGGTTTTGTTGTCTTCTTCTTCTTCTCCAGAGTCGGCCACACGTTAGCTGGCTTTTTCTTCTTCCTGTGGAATTATGTAATGCCCGAGAGCTCTTAAAGTCGTGACATATTGAATGGACTTTATGTGCTCACCTCTGTGCTGGTCGTTATCTAGTCGTGTGATGCTTTCCCGTGCTACTTTATCTATGCCGTCTTCTCGAGAGATGTTCCGTGAGGTAAATAAATGTAAGACGGGGAATAAGCTGCACGTTTTCCGAACTACGTACAGTACTTAACGGGCTTGGTATCATGTTGCAATTGCCATAAATATTACAAAACTCGGAGGAACGCTGTTGTGGCATATCACGAAGCACTTTAATTACTCGAATGCACATTCCGGGTGGACGTCTAGGTATTCAAAGTCTGGAAATATTTTTATATTGGAGAAATTATGAAAGTTCAAGAATTTTTTTGGGGAAATATGTATATTGATTCCAAATTAATGTCTGGCAGAATTGACCATAAACATAGTAAAACCGTACTTGCATCAAGCCTTATGTATATGCGTGTGACGTATAAAAATCTAGTAATTCCAAAAATACCAAACATTTAGGTGCTGAATTGAGTTCCTTGTCGTAATCAAGACTTGGCAAGCCATCCGACAACGTGGGCACATTTATTGTGTATGTACATACATTAAAAAATGGTTTTATATAATATCCCACACTCGGAAAGATCCTGTATAACGTTGTCATCGTCAAGTGCATAAATGTTTTGCTGTTACCAAACAAGTTCTGGAACTGTCATCTTGTTAAATTCGGTTTCTGACAGAAATTAGTTATCCTGTCCACTCTCCGACATTCCACTTCAAATTCCAGCCCAACAATGCTGTCAACTAGCCTTTCACAACTTCTAGTGCTTATCTGCATAAGGACATGCATGACAGGCGACTATGAGATTTATGGTTTAAATAGTGACTACATTTTTCCAGAGACAATTGTCAAATTACTGAATTTGCAATAAAAATGTATATTTCGTATTAAAAATACATTAGTTTATAGTATAAGTTGTATAACTTGGTATGTATAACTGCTCGTCAGCACTTTCCTTTCCTGCCGAGGCGATTGTTCGCTATCTTTTTATCCGAAACACAAAATTACTTTTTTTTGGTATATTTCTGATTAACTTAGAAAAGTTTGTTGGTATCTTGCTCCAGGGAGAATTAGTTCTAAATTGAATGTTTTCCGAAAGTTAGTACATACCGAGGCTGAAGCACGTTTCGGCTCTGCGTCCACCAGGAACATTTTACGATTTGCGACCAAAAAGTAGTCCAGAGATTGCACGGTATCCAGATAAATGATGATTTGTCTAGAATTTCCTATGCTGCTGGTCGCAGAGGAAAGAAAGCTGCATGCATTTGATATCAACCAAGTTTTATTTTTGCCTTTCCTTTCCTGGTAGTGACCTTCTTCCCATCGCAATTTGACAAAGGGACTCGGTTTCACTAATGTCTGCCAGTGCCAAAAGTCAATGGGATAACTGCCAAAAAGTATGGAGCCCAAATTTGACTCATGTAGTAAAATGGCAATAAAATTCTACTTAAAACATTACATTTCTCATATAATTTTTCAGTTGGGGATTTATTGCCACTTACGCGCAACACAAGTACATCCTTGATATATAGCTTCGCCAATTTTTGTTTCTTTTTGGACACAGTCATGTCGATTTTATGAGTAGTGGCTAAAAAGCATGGGTTTAGTGTCCGTCTTTTGTCAGTGATGTCTGTATTTGCACCGTTTGTTAAGTACGCCAAGCTGTGCGCTTCAACAGTGAAACATGGGTGATTCAGCTAAACTTGGAAAATTAACATTTACCACTGCAATCTATAAATATGGTGATAACCGTGAAAGTTTAATAAACTGAGTACCAAACGCGTCAGCCAAGACATAATTGCGTCATAATTCTGTTAAGAGGAGTGATGGACAACACATCTTTAAGTGAGGTTACTTATATACAATTTACCATTCCACTTTTCTGGATACCATAAAAATGTAAGGTCGTTTTTGAGTGATACTTTCCACACTAATTTCCCCACTGATGTGATACCCATGTCCGTGATATCTATGTGACAGTGCATATCTGCACCTACTGGTTGACAGTCGTCCGTTTTTTTTTCTCTCCGGAAGACTAAAGACACTTTCTCCATCAGCAGAGGAGACAGAGCAGAAAGGGCTTAGCCATCTAATCGCATATAAATAAATAAACCGTTGTAACCAGTGCTTGATTGCTTGAACCTTTCGACATTTCTTGCAGTAGTGCAAGAAATGCAAGAAATAAGCGTCACCTAATGGCTTACCCTTTGTTCAATAGGGATTATCCTCCAGATGGCCCTTACTTCTCGCATTTCTTGCACTACTGCAAGAAATTATGCCTACAAAAAAAACAATTTCTTGCAGGTGCTTTTTTTCACGCCTCACACTGGTGGTAACTTAAGCTCGGCCCGTACTACTTATTGAGAGAAGAAGGAAATGTTTCTGAATGAGGAGTAAAGTGAACGTGAACTTGATGAGGAAAATCGATACTTATGCTTTGCTGACTACTTTGCCTCCAAGTTTTCCCTTCCTCTGACCTGTTCTGCACCACATCGTGTGTCATAGGGTACTAACCTCCGTGCTACTGCTTCACACGGCACAGCTCGTCTTATTTTTCAGACCTTGTGCGTTAGGATTGGATGCTTTTAGCTCGTTCCTCCTGTTTCATTTCTATTTCCAACTTGTCTGTTTGCTGGTCTCTTCTTCTTGTCCTGGTTACGTACGGCCGTATTCTTCCATGGATGGAGTGAGTGCAAATGTTTTGTGTGTACATGTCTGACTGGCGAGAGTACAAGGGAAGCAGATAAGGCTGTCATCATCACTGCTAAACTCGACACCATCACGTCCAATTTCTAAAGGTGATTGCCAGCGATAAGAGTTGCTGCCGAGGAGTTGAAGTATTATTGAGGAGAGAATTGATTGTCGCCTTGTTTTCTCTCTTTCTCCACCCACCCACGAATTAAATGAAAAGTTATACACGGGCTCATGAAAAGGTCTGAAATGTGCGAAGGTTGGTGCATGCAGCGTGTAATTAGGCAGCCATTCTCTCTCACAACATTTGGACTTGGATGAATAATTTTAAATTAGTCGGTCGTGTAATTCTGTACACGGTATTTGCCAACTTTTGTTACGTACACGTTTAGTCGGTGGACAATATCTATTCGTGAAGTTGCATTTTTCTACTATACACAACTTTATTAATGGGAAACTTTTTTGGTAATTATTTTCAGAAATTCTCGCTGCGAAATCACACTCTAGCTTAACATTTCAGACACGTAAATAAAACATAAATCGTTTTTATTTCAGTTTGAATAAAATTCGTACCAATGAAGGACATGCTTTTAAAAAAGTTTGTATTTTATTATTGTTCATTGCATGAAATCATTTTACATATGTTTATTTCGAAAAAGCTAAACGACTAGCGCCGTACATTAGGGTCCCTATCTGAATATTAAAAAATCTTCCAATTTAAAAAATGCATCGTGAATATCTTTATCTTTATCTTTATAGTTTCAGCACAATATTATGATAATAATATGATAATAATATAATAATTATAAGATAAAATACAATTTCGTATCAGTTCCATTATGGCGAATCCTCTTTCTTTTTATTCATGCGGAGACTTTCATAACTCTCCGAAGAGTTACTGTTCCCATTGGTGTCGTCCTGTTGGAGGGCACTGGCCGCGCGGAGGGCGGCCCGCTTTCTCGTCACTCTTTCGCGATCCTTCCTTCTCTGCTCGGCTTTCTGTTCTTCAGTCATCCGGCTCCGAAAGCGCATTACGCGCAGGGTCGATAACGACACAGGTTTGCCGTTCCACATGGGCGGTATGTTATTCTTGACAGGTTTAGGTTTCTCAACGATAGGAGTTTCGTCAATGTTTCTGATTTGAAGAATTTGCTTTCTTCGTCCAATAGAATTCGGAGGTTCTTCCTCTTGGACAGGATGCATGTCATATTCATATTCTGGGGGCGACGTTCCTATTTCATCTGAATATTCATCGTCGTATCCCTCTTCGACTTCCTCCATTTCATTCGGGAGGAGGTCTTCGTCTTCTTCGTCCTCCTCCTCCGATGCCACCACTGCCTCCATTTCGAGCTCTTCCGTTTTTACTTTATATCCGGCTGGAAATTTGTAACCGTTTGTTCTTATCGCCTCGATAAGGGTGCCCTGCTGCGGCTTTTTATCACTCTCGATAACGTCGTCATGATAACCCTTTGGATCCCCGTCACCTTCTTGGTACGGGTTCAATTTGACCTGCAGACTTATCACGTTCGAGGCGAAGGAGGACATTTGACCCACAAATTTGGGTAAGGCTTCTTTTAAGTTTAAACCCTCGCTGCTATCTAAATCAACTCCATTTTCAGTTTCCAGGAAATCTTCAATAAGTTGGCTCGTCTCGATGAGATGATTGTGCAACAGTTTGAGTTGGTTGCTCAACTCGAGTTTCATAATAATTGAAGCCGTCATGGTAATCGCTTGTAGTTTAAAACTGTATTTTAAGTTGTAATTAAAATATTTTAGATTCAAAAACATCACCGTTTTTAACTGTAGCCAAATTAGATATTACTTACCATAAAGTCACCTACGTGATAAAAAAATCATGAAACAGTTCCGGGATATGATTATTAACTTAAAAAAATTCTAATTTCTGGTAAATTTCAGACACGATAATTAAAAAGTTTCTCCGTTAACTCACACGGACCAGATGACTGACTGGACACGAAGAAAGTGTCTAAATAGCTCAACAGCAAAAACGTCGCGCACTCACGTGTCCTAATCCGAAGGCGAAAAAGTAAAAATGTGACAGTCAAATGTTTTTTAATTTTTAATTTTAGACTTAATAGTTTCGAGTTTCTCTTATTTGCGTTGCTGTTGCGAGCTGTGATTAATCCTGGCATTCGTACACACATAGTTTCGCGCTGTTTGAGGTTTGACCGAGATTCGGGGCCAGTGGGGGCGGAAGTTGGGGGGACATTAGCATTGTGGGATAGGAGAAGGTGGGACTTATTAACATGGGAAAGATACGATTTTGCTAAATTTCTGGGGGGCAATGTCTCCCTGTCCCCCTGGTTCCGCCCATGGATGACTGAAGAAGCTACGCTTATAGAGATTGGTATTTCATGGGTTCCGCCGCCACTGTTCGGGCAAACTCAAATCTCGACCCACTTGTTACGGGGCGGCGAGATACATGAGGTATTTACATATATATGTAAATGTATATGCATACATACGTAAACGCCATTGGATTGTGCATTTGGTAGTTGGAATTTGAAAAGATGTGACTCATTGTAGACTTAAATTGGGGGAAAGTAATTGAAATGTACACAATAATAATAATCAAGAAAATCAAATCAAGTTAAACTGTGTGCATTTAATTAAATAGACACGTTCCAAAGATCAAAGGGAAACGGATTGATGGAGATTGGGTCGCGGAAACTGGAGCAATTGAGGGTTGAGAATGCTATGCAGAGCAACTTTGACGATAAATGTATGTATGTACGTACATGCATTCATATATCCGCTCGGGTGAGCAAGATTCTGGGGTCTGAGGGTTTGTTGGGACAAGAAATAAATTACAAAGTTATACATGATACACACATTGTTTATTTTATTTCACCTCATTTACCTTTCCGCTTATGTTGGGAGAAAGTACTTTGTGTGGTATGGTCGAAGCGTAGGTGGTAATATGTCACCTGCTTCGGCGGTGGATGATGACTTTCACTCCGTCCACGCCACGGTATGTATGTACGACTTCATTAAAGCCAGTGGAGCGAGAATGGAAATTGAGACTAATATGTAAATAAGTAAGCTAGTCAAACGGAATCGAAGAATAGATAATCAACCGTACTTATCATGACAATCTGTAAATAAGGTCGTGGGAGGTAATTGGAATTAAGTGGGTAGCCATTTATTAAAACCCAACGTGAACTTATTCCATTCCATTTAACTGTTAGACTAACTAACTATGAGATAATGATAGTAGAAAAATTAGGCTGGCACCAAATTTGTTCCCTGATTTTGGAAAATTGGTTGCAATCAAGTAAAGACAGGGATATTTTGATGGATGTGGCGTCATAAATTTGATGGTACTTTCCACTGCAATTTTGAAACAGCCATAAAATTTGCAGTGGGTAATTTTACTTGAAAAAGAAGTAAATAAATCGTCAATGATACTGCTTATCCCCTGATTTAGTAGCATATGAAGTAAAATAAGTAAATAAATAAATAAGAGTAGCTTACGTACACATGGCTGAAAGTAAAGTCATAAAGCGTGGACGGAACTTATTGCTTTAGTATTTTCTCATAAAGCCAACTTAAATCTTTTCCGGGCGTCTGTATGACAAAGGTGATTTTCATCTTCCTTTTTATACGTCGACGGAAATGGTTTTAAAGCTGGAGGAGCGGAAACGTGTACACACAAAATAAGTACAAAGACAGTAAAGTCTTTACAGCAATGCCACTTTATCACCAACGTGCCACAAAATGAAATTCTAATAAGAAAACGCCAACCAGAGGGAATCTGCATAAAGTTTGTCGGGCAATAAAAGCTGCTACTCGTACATATGTGAGTGCATGTACTTCTTGTTTTGGGGGAAATCCTGGTGGTACATTTGCGTGACACTTTATACTCGTTATATAATGCCCAGAAATCTAGTTTTAATTTCGTCCCTCGAGCCCACGCGGCTGGATCTTGTTTTGGGTAATAAAACGAGCACACACCAAAACAAAACAACCATGAGTGGAGGAGTGAGTATGGATTTCGTAATTACGATAGTGCCAAGTTGGACGTGATAAATTTGGTATTTTCATGCAGATATGACGCCTCACGGAGGTAGAGCACAATCCGAGAACGGCGATGATATATTCGTATCAATTAATCACGTTTCGCCAATAGATTCAAAGCGTTGTCATTTAATAAATACTATTTCCTTTGAGAGATTAGTTTGAATTGTCTCATTAACTCAACCTTGAATTTAAACGAGGAACTTCAATCATCATAAATACCTCTTAAAATTGTCATGCGATGAAGGACAAAACATTTATTAACTGGATGCCGTATCCTGAAAAAAGCTTATGTTTATGACCAATAAATCGCGTATTTTTAACTAGATTATAAATACAATATGATTTTGTCACCAGTAAGGACTTATGTATACCTACTACGCAGCAGTATATATTTACATATGGGCGTTCCGGGTGGACGAAAAACAGGCGACATTGGGTACGTTTATTTTCATCCCTATTAAATGATAAGAACATCCAACAATTGCTTTCGGTTGATAGCTCACTAGCTCACGATTACGTGACGCTGTTGCATCAATGGTTTTACGATAGGATAAAAGGCCAGCCAAACTGCCCCCTCGATTGGTCCACCATCAACATAAGATTGCCGATAATTAAATGTGAAGTTAGAGTCCAGTCGTAAAATCAAGATCAAATTGCTCTCTCTCCTCCCAGTTGTTCTTCTCCTCCGTAATGGTTACAAAAGCCCAACATCTTGTCCCCCTCCTCTGCTCGACCATCTGCAATGCAAACACTCACAACGCGTCGTACTATGTAGACGACGACGGGATTCCCGTTATGAGTCTGATCTCCACTTTTTAATGGACGTGAGAGACGGAAGAGCGGATAAAGTGTGATGAGAGGAAGGAAGGAAGAAAGTAAGCGACGGGCGGAAGAGTAAGCAAACCAAACCCGATCGCTCCTTTCAATCAGATTTTCTCAACGTTTCTTTTGTTCTTCCTTGTCCTGCAATGCGCCATTTCTTGGTTGGGATTGGAGAGGAAAGACAAAAAGTGAACGGGACTTTCTCCACGGAGGGAAGAAGAAGAAGAATGGAAAAAAACTGGAAAGCTATGGTCATGATTTTCTCATATCACTCTCTTCGCACGTTTGAAGACGGGAGAAAGAGACGGATCGGAGAGGGGGAGCATGTGCGCGTGGTGAAGATACATGTGCGAGGCGAGTAGTACGAGGTGGGCAGAGAAAGTACAAGTTTGACTTGACCATATTGCGAAACGAGTGAGTATTAGTCGTCGTCGTGAGGAAAGTGAAGCCATAAATCTCAAACTTGTGGATGGGTTATTATCCTCTTATAATTTAGGCAAGGAGTGATATTGTGATAGAGGAGGAAAAGGAAATCTGGTCTTCACTACTCCGATCCGCTCCAGAAATTCCATCCGACCCACGAACGAACAATCGACCAACGAAGCAAGAAGGAACCACGGTGAGGAGAAAAACGGGGTACTTTCGCGAATTTATACAAGTCATCTTCCCGACTTGCTGCATTAACACGGCGGCTTCTCGTCGTGGTGGGACCACCTTAAATAAATGTTGTTGAGGTTGATCGGACTGACAGGACTTTCTCCGGAAAGCAAGTATCCTAAAAGACCCAAAATAAATATCTCGGTGACAGTGGATAATGTCACGCCATTATTCACGAATGGGGAAGAATTGACAGATTGGTTGTCGTCCTTGCTGGGAGAAGGGTTGTACACTCGGAAATAAAACAGCGGTGGAGAATTTTATTGGGCAGGTCGATAATAAATATTCCTGAGAAGAGTAAACTTTACTTAATTATGGACACCCTCCAAGTTTAATGAGCTTTGTTGATAATTCAATACTGCTCTTCCAGCGGTAACGGGAAGAAACCCTGGTTTAATTAAATGCAAGCTAATCTTCTTACCGTGGCAGTATTATAATTTAAATCCTATCATGCTTTGACACAAGGCACGGAAGAAGGCTTGTTCCCATCAACAGCTTCGAACCTTCCGCAAATTCGTGTCTACTTATCTTCGTCTCCAATACAGTTTTCATCTTCGTCGGCCAGAAATCTCCAGCCCAGAAATGTACGTTCAGACCAAACCAGAGACCGCATCATCATCATCTTATTCGTGGATAGTCGTCATCCTCCCAGGTTGAAAAGATGAGTTAATTTAAGGGTCAGGTTGAGTAACAAGGTTTCCCAGAAATTGATTGATTTACTTCACCTTTCGTTTATTAAAAGCGAAATTGGAAACGGTATGAAAAATTGCCGTCGTCGACCTTTACATCCAGAAATTGGATTAGAGTTAAAATGAAGAGTCTTAAATAAAATGAACCGTTCACTCCAACTTTCACCACGAAACGTGCTCCTTATTACCAAAAATTGGAGGAAAGTAAGTACAAATATCGCAATTATTGTACATAATGAAGGTAAAACCGTAATGAAGGTTAAACTGATAAAGTAATGAACCCATTCATTGGACCGTTTAATTCAACGCTCTTAAATTAAGCTCCCACCTTACTTATTCAGATCCTTATGATGCTTATAATGGAAAAGAAACTGTGTGAGTGAGACTTTAATTAAAGTCATTAGTTTCAGTTATAGAGTTTGCTAAATTTTCCCCGTTAAGCACGTTCCTTGAGTAAACTTGGAACAAAAGGCGACCGTCTGTTCTTCTTCTTCTTGGCTTGGCTTGGCGGTGCGGTGCTGGTTATGTGGTTGGTTGGTGATTTCACTAGTTTTGTCGCCATACAAAGTTTTAATGCGAATGTCGGGTGCAGGAAATGAGGTCCTATGGGAAAACGGAGACTCGCAAGAATCCTTTCAATAACAAACAGAGAAAAATATGTTGATTACTTCCATATCTCGAAAAAACCGGGGAAATGGTGACACAAGGTCTTTTTGATTTGGGTCATTTCTCTTAATGAGTTTGGCTCGAGTTGGTTATGTTTTTCCCTTAATAATTGTAACTGCCTCGTAATTTCGTCTTTATTGCTACCGACAAAAATTACATTTCCTTCCTCATTTTTTTTCCACCCAAATCAAATAAGTAAGCACTTAATTTATTTTCATTTTCGTTTACAAGCTTAATGAACTAAATAAATACGAAAGCCACCTCTCTCACCGAGCAAGTAGGACCATCAATCAAGTGACTTTCTCCCCGTCTCTGTTTGTGACGTCCTTTGTGCTGCTGGTTGTTATAAGGAAGAGAATCAAGCCATCCTTACGTATTGATTGACTAGTTTGGTCCTTTCTTTCTCCCAAAAGTATAAAAGTTGTGAGAAAAAGATGACTCTTTTGGACTAGGACTATCGTCCTTTTTCCCCTCTCTCGAGACCTACGGAGAGAGAGTTGACAAACAAAGTCTCCCAAGTCAGACCAAGATTTCCTTTGATGTGATGTGGCAAACCTAAATTAAGCCCGTTCCCATCTTTAATTACTCATCCATGTCCAAATTACTACCTCGCTTGGGTGCAGATACTTAGATAAATCCGGCGGCTGGCTTAGCAGAATGGTTGAAATGCTCAGTTTGTCAAATGCAGACGATTTGAGATTGTCGGGATGGCCTGAAGGAGAATAAAGTTGGAGCTTCTTTTCCTACAAAAGAATCATCAATGACATTTGATCAGTCGGTGCGAATATAGGTCGGAGAGGATGGAGAGCGAGCCAGTGAACTGGTCTCTCTCTCTCTCGTACATAAAGACGACCATGGCCTTCCATTGTTTAATGGGATTCTCTCTCTCTCTCTGAGCGATGATTACGGTGCACGAAATAAGAGAAGGATGAGGAGAACCATGATGATAACGTGTTCATGCCAATGAAAGGTTTCGTGGAATAATAATCTCCCTCGGGTACAATTCTCTCTGCTGTTGTTGTTGTGAGAATTGGACCTTTCTCTCCACATCCACCTTGCTGGATGGATGATGATGAAGCTGGAATTTCCGTTGTCGTTGAATAAATGGGACAGTGAGGGCTCATAACACGCACATGCACGGCAACTGATTATGTGGTTAGTTTGGCTTGGTCGACACCGAGGAGGAGCATTTGTTAAATTTGGTCGCGGGTGTCCATGTCACTAGTTGAGTTGAATGTAATTAAACAAATGATCATCGAACCGAACCGTCAGAGTTTGTGCTTTCTCTGCTAAAGCTCGGCTTTCACGTGCTGCAGGAATATGCACGTAGCAGCACGAATGGTACGAGATTACCGTAAATACTTGTACACACGCCACCATGCAACTCGTCCGGTTGGCCTGCATCAGGCTGGATTGAGGTTAAAACCACGTGCACCATGTTATTGGACGTGAGTAATACGTTTGTTATTAATATTAAGCCAGCCGCAATTTAATTTAATTTCAACGACCATTATTAATTGAAGCTACCACAACCAACGAAGAGTATGTACGGTTGGTTGGGCAGGATAACGGAATCGCTCTCTCAGCGTAATAATTATGAAAGCCAACAATGAGTTTCCTTCCTGAAACATTGTTATGATTGCAGATCCGGCGTGAATAATGGAGGCAATGCATAGTTGAGGCATGGTGAGTGGACGGACGCAGGATGGAGAACAAATGACAATCCGACGACTTCCAGCCATTAAGAGCCAGTCGTCCATCTCTATCCCCACTGCGTACCACTACTACTACCCACCCGTCGGAGGTGAGGGTTTCCACCCCTCCGCCGCCATCAGTGTCGCTGCCCCGTTCGAAGTTGGGGGTGTGGTTTCTCGAGAGCAGCAAACACAACAACCGCGTCGACGTCCACTTGGTCCTGGTCATTATCAGAGAACCCTGTCCTCCTCGTCCCTGCTTACCAATAAGGCTTCCGTGTCCAAGAGTCGGAGTGACTACTGCGGCGTGGGAAGGGGACCGCCGTCACCGCAGAATTTTAGAGAAAGGCCGATTGTTGGGTCTGGCAGCAGTTCAAACATTGTCTACATTGATCGCGGTTTGAACGGGCTTGAACTCGGGGGGAATTATGGTCTTGGAGGAGGTGAGTCGATTTTAACTGTTTGACATATGCAGTTTGATGCATGGTGGGAATTCTGGAGAAAAAATGGTTAGCGAGCAGTCACTATAATTTTATTCCTCACGGATTTGATAATGGCAGGTTGTTCTACCAATTTTGGAGGCGTAGGGCTACCCTCATCGTCCACCACGAGTGGGAACAATGGCAGAGAATTCCGAGAACGGAGACTGATTCGCGAGTCATCCCAACCAATAATTGTTCATGTTCCAATCACCGCCCCAAAAGCGACGGCCACCACACTTTCAAGGGCCACGTCACCACCCCCACCTCAATATTTATCCAGTCTCGCGGCTGCGTCCTCCTCCTCCGCCACCTGCTCCTCCTCAAGCCCCAAGAAGAAATGTAGACCCAAACCACCCGAATTTTTGAAGAAACTCGGCCGCAGGAAGGACCCCAATGAAGACGACGACAACGACACCAACTCGTCAGAAACGGACGTAGAGGAGATCAAGAACGAGCTTAAACCTGGGGTGAGCAGTACTACGCAGAGGAAAACGATCACAGGTGGTGATCAGACAGCACTAATCCTGGACGAGGAGAAAAACTCCCCAAAGGTCGTCGTACCTGCCCATTTGGCCAAATACGCGAGGAATGCTCCCCTGCGGAAGGTGAACCATCCTCTCGAAGAGAATATCTTCTCCAGCCTCATAATTACTCTGGTCGCCGTGGGACTGGCCCTTATCATTGGAATTCCTGTTTTGTTCTTCACCGGAACCTTGCTCGTCGTTGCGATCGTTCTTCGCTACTCACTCTTCCTCCTTCACGGTGTTTACTCATATTTACGCTTCATTTGCTCAAATCGCGGTCACCTCTCTTCCACTGCCCGGTCCACGACTCCTCCCATAATCTTCCCTCGGGACAGGCTTGCTTTCTCGAATGATGTGAGATGGTTGGGACGACGGGGACGGAGGGAGGCTCAGGCAATTCTACAAACCTTGCTCGTCTTCGATGGGAGTCTGGATCTTGGGAGTTTGAGACATTTGATCCTCACCAGAGTGGTTCATGCAGAGACGCCCGAAGGTGAATTGGCCTACCCACGACTAATGCAGAAAGTAAGCCCCTTCCCGGCAGGGTACAGGTGGGAGCTGGATGTTGCTTTTGACATTCAAAACCACGTCATTGCGGGTCCGAGCTATATCCGAAATGAGAAGGAGATCCAGGAGTATTTGAGTCTTCTTTTGACGGAGCGGTTGTCACTGGCCAAGCCGCTGTGGGAGATCAGAGTCATTACCAATTACGGCGTTCAAAAGGATACAATCGCAATTTTGAGGGTACACCAATGTTTAGCGGATGGGATGACTTTGGTCCGAATTTTGAGCCACTCACTGGCAGACCAGGCACAGATGCATATTCCTCAAAGACCTCACTTTGCCGGACTTAGTTTTGGCTTTAACGTTATTCGTTCACTGATTGTGGGGCCACTGACGTTTTTCATGTGGTTGCTCACGACCTTCAGAGATGCCAATCTGTTCTCAGTCCCGCTCAGGTGGGGAAGAAAGTCTTGGTGGCCGATGTGGAGGAGGAGGAGACAAACTGCGAATGATGAAGAAAGCGGCGGCGGTGGTGGCGGTGGGAGAAAGCAATCGCCCACTAATTGTGGTAGGAGACTGGCGAGCGACGTGGAGGAAAGCAGTGCTGCTGGGACCAATGGGGAACAAGTCACAAACAGCAGCAGCAGTCCGTTATCTTTTCCCAGAGAAAGCAAACCCACGCCACAAAAGAAAGTTGTTGCGATGAAAAACAAAGGATCAACAGTGACTACTAAAAAATGTAGAAGGCAACAGCAGCCAAAGAAGAATAGCGGCGGTGGACCCAGGCGGGCTTCTCCGTGGAATGTGGTGTGGTCTGCTCCGGTCTCCGTCCCCAAAGTGGCCAGGGTCAAACAAATCATGAGGAGTTCTTTGAACGACGTCCTTCTCACCGCGGCTGCTGGCAGTGTTCGCTCCTACCTCCAAAAATTAGGGATTCCTTGTCCCGATGACGTAAAGGTAGGTATCTTACCATCCTCTAATTCTTAGGTTATCCGACTTCTTCGTTTGCGTCACGTTTTAAAAGTGGGTGCAACCCGTGACAAGTGAAGAGATATGTCAGACTGATAATGTCAGGCTACGTGTATGGCACATGTGGATTTCTTTAGACTCTTATGCATAAATTTTGAATCAGAAAACTACTATTTATGTACATTGGGTAAAAAAAGACTTGAGAAAAATGGGGGATCGAATTTTAATAAATTGCTGCAAATGTAATATTGAAATGTACAATTATCACGGCAGTACCTTTGTAAAACCTGGTCTGGCGAGGCCAGGATTTGTCTCTAGTGCCACAAACAAAGTGAATTAATCTTCGTTCTGTCCTTCATTCCACTGATTGAGCGACACGACCGGATCTTCTTTCCCCTGCCTCCTTACTTATCTCACTAACTTGACTCTCACCACTTTTAGGTGGTTATTCCCATCGATCTTCGAAATGACATCACATCCCCAAAGTCATCCACGAAATTGGGCTGCAAAGTGGCATCCGTCTTGGCCACGATTCCTTCCGGAATGGAAGGTAAGAATTATTTGAAGCTTTAATTTAAAAACAAACATTGGGCACAAATATGTACATGTTGGCGACATAATTTATAATCGTAACACTTGTTGGGAGATGTTCCCTTCCTCCTCAAATTTGACGAGCGGATACGCCCAACTTTTTTGAAATTGAGACACTTGTTTGTTATGTAACATTTTCATTCCATTTTCTATTCTTCCTGTTCTGTGACACAGCGTTAAATTATAGAGAAGTAGCAAAACACCTTTTTTAGTCGCCCACACATAAATAAAATTACCTATTTTAATAACCGCTATTTTTCAATGGCCTAACACGACGAGGCATTGACCTGTATTTTTGCCCCTGTAAAAGGAGCCATTCCTCGCATGTGGGCTACACGACATCGCCTGGACGAGTTGAAGGCATCGGCTGACCCGGTCGTGGCGTATGGTGCGACCACCGTCCTCATGAACATTCTCCCCCATCCTCTCGGGGTCGCGCTGCTGGACAATATTACCAACAAGGTAAAAGAGATTTCAATTGTCGCCATTTATTCCCATTTGTCCACAAAATTCTGCTTGGTAGAGGTGGTCTGAATGGATATTTATTTATATGCGCCACACCGAATGCAACAGACGACAAGATCTCTCAGAGAAAGTTCTTTCTTCGAATGATGACGATGGTAATGGTCGTACTGCTTCTTGTGCTCCATGGTTTGTGATTTATTACCTTCGCAGTCTGATTTTACCTGTCAAGGGAAATTTATTCCGCACCGGGACCCGTGTGTCTGTATCGAAATCGATCGTGATGTCTTTGCCATTGAGTGGTGGAATGGAATTGGATTCAGTGTAACGTGCATAACGCAGGAGGAGGTTTTACGTACGATGTGTGATGTAAACCACGGCCGTAAAATAGGTTTTCATTCACCAACTAGTAGATAATAACGTGGGGAGGAGAAATAAGAGGATAAGAGGAAAGCGTATCAAGGATGCACGAGAGCGAGAGATTCTTTGCTGTCAAATAAGCAAAATAAATTGTTTTCTGTCATGCCATGCAGAGGAGTGTCACATCAAAACCCATCCAACGTAATGAGACGTGTGGACTGGCTCATTATTAGATAATCTCAGGAAATTGAAGAAAGTGGTTACACATACTTATCACAAAAACATGTATCTATTCTATCATATCATAAAACAGCATGTTGCTCGATCGATTGTATCAAATTTATTTGTTAATATTGCAGTAAAACCTTTGACACATATTTCTTCCGTTTATTCTATCTACTGATATATACTTTAAAACACGTTTTTCACAGTGTGTACTAATTTTATCTACGAGTCTACACAATTTTAAAAAATAAATCCCTTCCTTTTCACTATAATTTTAAAACTACTTTTAGATTGTAGGAAACCAATAGCATCCAAGCCCGACATTTTCTCTCCCCATTATCATCATTGCGATTCGCCTTGGTTGCCACTGCCAGTGGTGTCGATATTCACGCGGACTTGCTGATTGGTCCTCTGCCAAGATCGCCACACGCTGGAGTGGTACCTTTGACAATGGGGAAGAAGATAACAAGATGAGGATAAATTTAATTTCGACCAGATTGGTTGTACTTTTACATATGTATGAAATGGATGCAAATTGGGAATTGACCTACTTTATGGTGACATGACACCAAGCGAAGTAGACTCCGAGAAGGAAAAGACTTAAAATGATGAGTCCCACAGCCTCCCAACGCTCCTGCATGAAATATTGATTGGCTCCCAGGACACAGAGATAAGTGGAGACGATTAGCAATGGAGTGAGCAGCATAAAGCAGACGATATCCGCGATCAAGTTTCGCACATTGAATTGGTTGCTTCGATCTCGCAGATACTGTACACACCCAAACAAAAATATTCTCAGGAATGGCTCAATATGCAAATCCGCCTCGAAATGAAGTAAATTAGAGTAGAATGGGGAGCAGAGGCAGACACATGGCGAAATTGCAAAGGGATTTAGGCTAACTAGATCAAAAGAGTTACTTTCAACATTAATCAAGTCATATCCTCCTGAATTCAAACCTCTCTCTTTAACCTAACCTATGCAGAGGCCTAAACTCTCCCTCTCTCTTTATACTTCTCCGACGTTTAAAGCTGGGAGAGAGAGAGAGAAAGACGACGTAAGAGGGTTTCAAGCTGTTCAGAATTTGACATTACTTATTTCAAGTGGTTCGGTTGGGTGGTGGGCGAAACGACATTTTGGCCTCCAATCGGTGTGGTTGGTATCAGTAATTAATTACCTCGTTGCAAGTTCGTGGAACACGAGTAGTGGTGTAAACATACTGGCAAATCTCGCATCGGTCCGTGTTGGACGATGTGAGCCAATGTTCCAAGCAGGACAAGTGGATGAGGGCCACCGTTCCAGTACATTTACACGGCGCAATCAAGGACTCTCGCATGGATATCGTACTGTTGGGCGAACCCGATGAATAGTTTCCATCCCCTGGGAAAAAATGAAATCAAGAGCACAATAAAAAATTAGTTAGATTTAGCTAATTACTAATTAACACCCAAAGAGAAAATCGTTGGGAGGAGTGAATACGAAACTTTTTTCCATACCATCGTGGCAAATTCGACAGAACTGGTAACTTTTCTGGCTGTGGGTTGATGATGTTGCTGGCGAATCCACTTGCACCACGGTTTGAAGTTGGAGAGGAGAATTGTTGTTGTTGTTGTTATTACTGGCCAACTTTTCCTTTAATTTCGCCACACCACAACTTCTCCCACCACTGGTTGATTTATTATTTGGCGAAATTAAGGCACAATTAATAAGGTCGGCAGAGTTTGGGTCATGTTGACGATGCATGTTGACCTCCCAGCTGAAGTTTTATGAAGTGTGTGTCTCTATACCATTGGGTTTAACTACTATTCGCGGTCAGAGAGATCTATAAATGGTAATGGAATTGTATGACTAGTTTACCGAAATGGTAATAGAACTAAAATTTGAAACTTTTAAAATTAACTGTGGAGCAACAACGTAATGGGGACGAGAAGTTTGCCGGGTTGGATTGGACTTTTAGATTAATTCATTACGGAGGAGCTCGTCTGAGGCTGCTGTTGCCGTGGTTGACGCATTTCATTGAATTAGCTCGTTTCGTGGAGATAAGCAAATTACAAATTTTGACAGGGCAGACTGTTTCTGAATGCAAACTATACATGTCTTGTAACTAACTGATTCAGATGCAGATTTGTGGACGAGCATCACATAATAATGTTCACATTTCCCTATATGCAACAGCAGCCGGTATGCAGGCATTCTTCTCAATTGCTCCAGGTCATGCATAGAATCAATAAAATACCATCAACAACACTTGTGAAATTGTTAACAAAGTGAGGCCTAGTTACTGCGAACGGATTTGTCCGTCTGTCCATCTGTCAGCAGGATAACTTTGGAATGAATCTAGTTTTTTTAAATTCTGCTTTCGAATGTCGACATTTAATTTTTAAAATGAAGGAGAGAGAGTTCGTCAACTGACTTTATGAAAGGTCAAATATGTAGATTTTTTTTTGTCTTGACGGGTTTAGAAGTATTTTCAGAAATCACCGTCATTTCGATGTACATCCATCTGATAAACGTGGTCAAAGGTCATAAAATGCCAAACTTTCCAAGCAAATGATGCATCTCGAGTACGCATCTCAATGCACTCCGTTTCCGCGAGTTTATCATTATCACACATACATATTTATTGTTGGAGTTCATGTCTGCATATATTTATGATGTCTGAATTCCGAAACAGTGCACGACACACATATTTCTGATATGTGTAATAATAATGCGAATTTCTGAATTTCCACAGGCTTCCCTCCAGTTTAGCAACCTCCCAGGCCCGACACACACTTTGGTTGTGGGGGGATTTCCACTCAAAGGCATTTATCCCATTTATCCACCTTCGGGCAAGATCCGAGTGGGAATTTCTGCATTTTCATATGCTGACCAAGTCCATCTCACCGTAGTTTCACACCGGTCGCTACCGAATGCAGGACCCTCTCTGCTTCAAGGGATCACGGCCCAGGTAGGAATGAACAGTGTGGCTTTGACATGTCAGTTATTTTTGAACTTTATGACGATGACAGTCCAGAACTAAGCGTGTATGAGGCTGCATACTTAAATCTCTTGTTAAAACTTTTCTTTTGTTCCTGCCTCCTTAAAAGGTGGACCAACTCTCGAAACAACTTTCTCAGCGTCGTGTTCCTGGGGAGAGTCGAAGATCTGCGAGACATTCTTCCCTCAACAATCCGGAAATGACGAAACCTCCGACCAGACAAGTAAGAATGAATTTGTTTTTACTTTTAAGTTCTAATACTTACAAGTTGTATGAATATGAAGCATGCGGTTTGTACTCGGCTGAAACTTCTGAAAAGTGCTGGATACTACATACCTGAATAAAATTAATGGACTCTGTTCGCAGAATTCACTCCTGGAATCATTTTACAATCCTTAGATTACGAATCGTTTCGGGATTGAATTGAACATTCCAATCCATTTATTATTGATTTTTTTTCATTCTCGTTTCGCATGATATGACTTTCGATAGAATTTTTCAAAAGAAATAAACCAACTTGTTATTTTTCCTTTTTGCCCATTCAACCATTTCCTAAAGTGACCACAGAGGAAATGTTAAATAATACAAGAACACAGGAACTTTCTCTTTTCCAGACTTCTCTCAGGAACGTCTATATTTTACTGCTTTTTCCAACACTGCTCTGTTACAGGGAAAGTACAGGGCGAGTAGAGTTGATAAAAATGGTGTATCATTGAATGGAGAGAAGAAGAAAGATACCCTCAAAGGACATCAACCACCGGCTGCCGTGTATATAAAAAATATACGTATATCCTGCGAAAATGGACACTAACTATATAACTAACTAACCCTTAGAAAAAGAAGACAAACGAAATTTTGAAGCTTTATTATAAAAGAGAACTAGTCGGGCTTGCCAACTTGTTTGCAAAGTTCAGTTTAGAAACTTTTTGTCCTCCTGCAAGCTGCTACTTTCTACCTGCGTGTATATATATTTACAAGGAAAGTAAAGTGAATTGTCACTGCCAAGTCGCACGTGTTTTCTTAAATTTCCTACTTATTTCCTGACTTTTTCTAACCCGTGTTATAAAAATCTACTGGTTTTATCGAGCTTGCCAAGCTCTCTTGGACCATATTTATTTAGTTGTATAGCACCGTGAGAGGAAGGAGAATGCCATGAGAAAATTTGGAGGTGCTTTCATCATAAAACTGATTTACAGGTGCACGTGTACCAGCTCTTACCTGACGGACAGAAGTGGTGGTAGCTTGAAAGGGATTACATGATTATGAATGAATGGGTGCGTTCAGTTGAGGGTTTTCACCCAAAAAGCGAGGTCACGTTTTGTTGGTCATTCATTCGTAAAGTAAAGTGCGGGTTGGGAAAGAGGAAGCAAATTCGTCCCAAGTATGTTTATTCATAACCACCCCGACTGAATCTAGAATTCCTCAAAAAATTAGAATCTTTCAGCTGAAAAGAAACCATAGGCTTGAAAACTCGAGGTTGCTCTCTCATGTAAAAAATGAAGTGGTTGGCATCCCAGAGAAAAATCATTTCGTGTGAATAGAAATCCCAATTTATATTTCACATGATTTAACTTTTCCACTAAATCTGTTCTTGAACTATTCCAACTTGTATTCTGTTATCTTGGGTTATATTATGTTTGGTTGTTGGGCGAAAGATAAGGAGGACAGGTTATCAGTAAGTGGCTCATCTGGAATGAGGAAGACGAGGCTGAGATAGCAGTGGGCGAAAGAAAGAAGAGTGGAAAAGATGGCATTGAGAGAGGGAGAAGTTCCAAGTCGTCGTCGTCGTCGTTTCTTGGTCGTCGTATGTCGTGTGTAGTGTAAGAAGTCAGATCAGAAAATGGAGACGAGAAGAAGAATCAGCAGATTCGGAATTCTCATCCTCATCTCATCCATTCGTTTCGTTCCCTGCTGCGGTTTTGGGCATACTTTTGCGAGGAAATGAAAATGTAATGGTGTGGAAATATTTGGGCTCCAAAGGGAAATTGAGTTGAGTCGAGTTCTTCTTCATATCAAAATTTGTTGGAGATGGTTAGTCGGCTCTTCTGTCGTGGATGGACGGAAGTGAGACTCCACGGCAGTAGTAATCAGTTAGTATACTCACATCCACGTATCTAGCTGGAGGCATTCAAATGTTTTGAACTGTGTAGCCCCATTTTTAAGCCGTTTGATTTTTGCCAGTCTCCAGCTTGACGATGAAAGCAAGTCCAACTGCGATGTGAATGTCCCCCAGGAAGGAAATTCCCAAAGAGTATTTATTTTCTTTGTGCTTGTATCATTGCTCTTGGAGTGATTGTGGTTTACTTTAGAGACGACTTTTCCACTATATTTTTTCTCTTGCTCGCAACTTATCCCGTTTGTCCACTCTTGACTTTCGACTTTGGAGAATTTATTTTTATGCTTTTCTTTCTCCCAGCCCCGTTCGCAAAGCAAAGGTTAGTCGACTGGATCAATCTCAGAGGGGAAAGAATTAAATCAATGGTGCCATGAATGCCAATCAAATTATTACTTATCAAGTTTGAAAAAAAAGAATTTCACTAGTTTCATGTATGTGAAAGCAGGCGCCTGCTTTTTGGAGGAAAAGTCTGCAGGGAAATGATCCCGTGATTTTATTTGATTCCGATTTTATTACATTTTTCAGATCCACATGCAGCTTCAAGTGGTGCAGGAAGAGCTTCAACAGTTGAGCCATCGTCTGGACACGCCGAAAATGGGAGTGGTGTTGAGTGCGGGGTCGGACGCTGGTGAGGAGAATTTGCACTCATCCGACGACGAGTCTCTTGGGGGTGGGGTGTCAATGTCTTCGCGTTCTCCGGCCGACCAAGCTCAGCTCCGCACCCGGCTGAAAACACTCAAGACCGAGTTTAGCGAGCTTATTGGAGAACTTCGACGTCGTTCTTCCATCGTCGAGGGGGTTCCCATGTCATTCGAGGTGAGACTCGTATATACTCTCTCTCAACCCTATTTATTTTTCTTCTTTCTTGCAAATACAAAGGAGAGAAAGTATTGATGTGGGTGGGTGGATAACGATCTCACTGCTGGAACACAGATGGTGCTGAAAAATGGCGTGTTGTGCATATATACATTTATATTTTCAGTAATTGCCCTTTGACTTTTCTGATTGTTCAGACCCAATTGTCGCCATTGGTGCAAATCCTCACAGAGATGTGAAAAGTGCCAGGACAGCGAAAAGCTGTTGTTTCTCTTTAAATAAACTTCTTCCCTTCTTCTCGTGCATATACAACTTTCACCTTAGCCGTCCCTACTTTCTTTTTCATGTGCAAACAACTCTCGCACCATGAGGTAACCCAACTCGAGAAAGAAAGAAAGACTAAACACACGGAGGTTTTCTTGCCTCATCTTTCTCTCAAAAATTATTTATGCACACAAATAAATCCCTGGCTTTTTTCCCTTCTGAAGTGAAGATCCTTGTTTTCTAAAGTTTTTTCGTGTACATTTTGATGTTTGGGCTCTCGTCGTGTTTAAAATATTGGTTGTTTTGCATACATACGTGTACACAAGTTTGGCCATAAATTATCCTCACAACATTCATGATCTGCACGAGGACTGAGGAAAAAGACGCAGAATAAGAAATGCATCCTTCTCACTTACATATTATTAGCCAAACTAAAGGTTTGTTTGCGAAACCTGGCTGGCAGGTTTCCTCCTTCGTCTCCTTTAATTATACGGTGAGCGAGATTACTTACAGCAGGCAGGGATGGAAATAGACTTCATTATTTGCACTTGTTCCGTATTCATCAAGCATAAATAAGGCATTATTATTCGTTTGCTCCCTCCTCGCCTCGCCTACTTTTCACTCGAATGAAGAAAGAAAACTTCTCTCTGGGCTGCGGCTTGGCGAGGAGTGTCCCGAGGCTGAAAGGAGAAAAGAAAGTTGGAGAAACCTTGTATATGTCGAAGGAGCCAATTAATTTAATGGAAAGTGGAACCAAATGTGCAAGTTGTTGAAAGTCGCTTGTTCGCTCCTTCCCTCGTTTTTTGTTATTATTACTACAATGAGAAATGAAATTAGCAAATTTTGCTTTTCATTGGATTTTGTTTGTAATTTACATGCAATTTCCCAACTATAATAACCCTTTAGCCAATTAGGGCTGGGCTTTTGTTGCTGCGATAAGGCTTAAATACAGGTTTATTGGAGTTAATCATACTCACGAGCTATCAACAAGAGGAGCTATCAGCTTTGTTCCCTTGATAGATTTATCGTTTTGCATTATGACCTCGGTATTAATGGCATAATGGGCTTAGGAGTCAAGTGATCACTACATTTCGTCAGAAGAGCTGTCTCACTCGTTTCAGAGAAAGGTTTATATTTAAAAAAGTTAAATAGAAAACATTTTCATGGTATGAATTAGGATTCGTGCAGAATAAAATAGCAGTTTTTTTCGCCGAGGCCTCCGAGGGCTTGTTAGGCAATCGAGTTTGAAGCATGTACTCGACTTATTTGCTATACTTGCAAAATATGCAATAATTAATACGGCATTTATAAAATGCTTTGCCAAACTCTCGAGGGAGCAATTTTATCGAAACTATTTTATTCCTTGGTAATGGATACGCGTAGAGTGCGAGCAGTCGCTTCGGCTAATAAGTGAAAGTTTGGGTTTACTGCAGGCGGCGGGGCATATTTGCTATTAATAAAATAGCTTTGGTCCACGTGTTGCGAGAACTAAAAAGTTTTGCACTCAATTATGAAACCCAGTCTGGAGCTAAAAGTTTGACAAAAATCTCTCCTTGCAGGACGAAGAATGCGAGGATGACTATCGCAAGCCGAGGAAACGAGCTTTATCCGTCGTGTCGATGTCCATGTCTCGAAGGAACAGCATTTTTTCGGGAAGGTCTCTGACGACCCCGGAGTCATCGGGGTGCTACTCCTCCTCCGACGATGATGACCACCCATCCAGCCCGTCCCACGAGGTTCGGATGTTCAACCCCAACGCGGCCAACAATATGCGCTTGTCTTCTTCCCCCATCCGAACCACTGCGGTTTAAGTATGATAGATAAGCTGTGTGTATGATAAGCTATGATAACTCCATGGCTTATCTTCCTTTCATCATCTTCCCACTTGTCAATCTTCCCTGTCGTGAATAGAACGATGACTGTGTATCAATCAGAAAACCATTAGTGTAAGTACTTTCTCCCCCCTCTTACGTCCTTCTTCACCCCGACAAAATTTATTCTACTGGAATATTTGATACTCCACCAAGTGAACGAAACAATAAGAATGTAGTTGTAAGAAAGCAGTGAAAATCATACCCTTTACAAATTTTGGAACGCTTTAAATATTTAAATAATTTGCATTTTTGTGTCTCTAAGCATATTTACATACATATGTAACTTAACTCTTGTTAAACTAATGATGTATGACTACTAAATATTTCATATTCGCAATTTGCCAAAGTTGGAAATCTCAATGTGTTTTGAAAGGTGTTCTGGCAGCGTGTGGGATTATTTTTCCTCCAAAAATATGCAACCTATGTGACATCTACTGCGTGTAATTGCCATGTGATAAATATATAAATACTTCTATCTATGTGTGCTAGATAAATAGAATCAATGTGAAATCAACTGTGTTAAATTTTAAAAAGGAACAAAAACTGAAATCTGTGTATGTATCTGGTCATGAATCAAGTGAAAAAGAAATAAAGTCTGTAATTGAAAGGTTACATAAGGCTCATGGACTTTGATTTAAAAGTCTGATCAGTAATGATCACTCACACAATTTCGATCCATCCATCCATACAGCGGAATGAATGCATACTAAAATCATGTCTTTGTCTCAACTGGAAACTTTTTTGCGTCAAAGTAATAAAGTAGATTATTAAGCTCAAAGTTTCACATGCATACGTCGTACGTAACGTTCCACTCATTTCGCAATTTCATCCTCGTAATAAATTCTGCCAGTGATATCATGTTCATCGACTAATGGATCCCTATCATCCCGTTGTAAAAGGTGATCTCAAAGTAAACCCCAGTAAAAGGAAAAGGGCCGAGGGACTGAGCTCCTATAGGTACTCACACATCTTTAAACTTTGGGCTCCTCCAACTATACAAATTGACTCGTACGTACATCTGCACATGGTGAGAATATCGCGTTAATTCATTCTCGAGCTGTTGAGTGCATCAGAAATTCATGAAATTAAAAGGGTGTCGTGTCTCCCAATCGAGGTTAGGGATCAAAGAGTAAAAATTAAAAGCTCGTGCAATTTGTGCCATGCATTGATTTATTCGAGGACGAGGAATGACTCACTCCTACAGATACGTACATCATTCTTTTCTGCACATAAGTTGCCTCCGATAAAATTGACTGCATAATAATTCGCCAGTAAAAGAAGGTAAACGGGCAAGTAAAAGTTTTTTATTGCAAAGTTTTGTTGTTTCTTTGCCGATCAATCGGAGGATCGCAAAAAGTTTGTTTTCTTGCCGGATTTTTAATATATTTACTACATAAAAATATTCGAGATTATGTACTTTTTGGATTTGTGACCCGGTTGGGATTCAGTGGAGGGGAGCCAATAAGAGAGAGTTATGAGACCCGCATGGAATGCTAATGTTTACGACGACGAGACAGAAAGTACACGTCTTGTACATTTTCATTGGACAAGAGGAATCATAAAATATAGGTTGAGAATGACAAGCCATGGTTTTCTTGGGGCTATGCTTCGTCATTAATAATTCATCCAATAGTGCTTTAATTTCGTCTAGGTCGTGCCTCTTCAACCCACCAAACCCACCAACCAACCAATCCACTAGATAAACTCGTCTTAATGAAGAGTGTAATTGCAGGGGAGATACGTAATATTTTTATTATCCGGCTGCCTCGTTCACTAATAGTCCAGACAAAGGAGGCCATTCAAGAAGCTCTTGAAATGTCCAGTTGATAAGATTCAAGATGTTCACCATGCACTCAGTCACCAAATTACATGGCGTTGCTTGACGTAAAAAATGTCCCAGCAACACTTACTTGACAGGAACAGTCTTAACCCACTCGTTTATCAAAATATGTCACTAGGAAAGCCTAAAAAGTGTTTGGGTTAATTTTAATGGTTCACATTGTCAAGTTCGGGTCATGGTCGATATATTATTTATCATCAATGTCTACACTTGTCCGTTGGAAAAGTAGTCTAGTTAATGACCAGACGTTACCAAGAACGTACATCTCGGTCAGCTTTCCAATTGCGGAAAATTGTTAGCTGAAGATTCGGTGAATCCGTCTAATTTCGAAATAATTTCCGGTCCACATTTTGCCATGTCAGAATCGAACAACTTTTCCGTTCCGAACATAATCCGGAAAAAGAGGGACAAGGAGGAGCTGGACGATGCCGAAATTCGCTACATCATTGACAAAATAATCGCTCCCTCAGCAGAAGAGAGGATTCACGATGCTCAAATCGGTAAAAACGGAGTGTATCTCCTCGTAAAAATTTTACACTTTAAGACAACCCCGAATTAAATGGAGTCCATCACGAAACACTGCACATTTATATCCTTTATTTTATTTTCGCGAAATTGTAGGAGCCTTTTTAATGGCCTCGTATCTCAACGGACTGTCACCGACGGAAACTGTGTCTCTGGTGAAAGCCATGACATTCTCGGGTAAGTTTTGCTTCTTCATCCACCACTCAGCACGGACGAGGCGACAACAATGGAGGAAAAATAGGTTCTTAAAGAACAACAAAGTTTCCTAATTTGGAAGAAATGTGCATGGCTTCACAGTTACGTGCGTATATACTGTTACATAGGGAGGCATATGTATGTACATGTAGTTGCATTTATTCCATATATATGTACATCTCCTAAATCCACACGGAGAAGTTTTTGAACAACATGCACTTCACTTAAGCTTTAAATTCTTAATAGAGACAAAGAGATGGAAATTTAATGCTGGCAGATAACAGGCATTCTCCATTACGAGCGGTTTTTTTAGAAAATGATAATTGTTTTTAGGGATATAGATTTAGAGATGTGTAATCTTCATTCTGGTGAAGTTGAGGCTTGGCTAAATCTAGCTCTGTAAAAAAACAGGGCCTTCTTATCGCCTCAAAATCATGTGAATGACGAACATGTGCATTAAATCAAGTCGTGTACTTATGTACAATTGTGGTATTTATACAAGAAAGAAGCTGGATTTATTTTCTCGCCAATAACCACCAGGCGAACGACAGAATTCCACCCGAACGACAGAATTTGATCTGATATGCGAGACTCTGCATGTATGCAGCTTGAAATTGAAGACGAAGAAGATTGCTTTCACTCGTCCATTCATTACTTATCTTATTCCCTACAGGCTTTCAATTTAATTGGCCTGAAGGATGGAAAGGCACCGTGGTTGACAAACATAGCACGGGCGGAGTCGGGGACAAAGTAAGTATGCGAATGAATTGTGGATCAACTTTAATTAAACCTTTTCATCTCAGCCTCACCAACCCATGAGATTCCAATCAAAGTTGTTGATGGAATTATTTGTGAACTCTCTCTCCGTATTTCCCAATTAATGATTTTTCTTGGGGGCAAACTTGTAAAGCGGTCAATTATATAAATGGTCGAATTGATTGGTTTGACGACAGATTTCCCTCATCCTCGCTCCTGCCTTGGCCGCTTGTGGGCTGAAAGTTCCCATGATTTCGGGACGAGGGTTGGGATTCACGGGTGGCACTTTGGACAAATTGGAAGCTATTCCTGGCTACTCCGTCTCCTTGAGGAAGGAACAGTTTGTGGAGGTCTTGGAGAAAGTTGGGTGTTGCATTATGGGACAGACGAGTGACATTGCACCAGCAGATAAAATCATCTATTCCATTCGGGACACGACCAGCACTGTGGATTACGACAGTCTTATCGTGGGTGAGCATAATATGTGCATGCATGAGGACATGTGACAGTTCGACACGCCGTAATTAAATTAGAAGGAGAAAGTATAATGCCGTCAAATCCTTAGCCTCAATCATTTCCAAGAAGGCGGCCGAAGGGTTGGACGCTCTCGTTCTGGATGTCAAAGTGGGGAAGGGAGCCATGATGAAAAATTTCGCGGACGCGGAAAACCTTGCAGAAAAATTGGTGAGTTTTATTCATTTTGCAGCTTTATGCCGTCAGTCGGAGTTTACGTGATGCTGATGAGACTAAAACTGACACTGGAAAAAATTGCAGTAATTAAAAGGGAAAAAGTGAAATTGACAAGTTCCGCTTAGCTGCAGCGGAATATCATGTCTGAATTCGTTCTAATATAAAATGCTACTTTTGCATAAACAAAATCAGACTTTCCCTCGCAATTTGGCGTCTCTCGCATAAATATTTGCACAAATTATGCTCAACATCACATTAAAAAAATGGCAAAATAAAAAATCGGAGGTGAAAAGGGTAAAAAAGCGAAACTTTGCTTCTCTCCAGGTGAGTGCTGGGAACTTGTTCGGGATGAAAGTGTCTGCCCTCATCACGGACATGAATGACCCGTTGGGGAGAGCGGTAGGAAATGCTCTCGAAGTGGCAGAGTCAATCCAATCTCTGAAAAATCAGGGACCCGAGGATTTGATTGAGTTGACTTGTGTGCTTGGTAAATACAATTTTTTTCTTCTCTCCGACAAATCCTTCCAGACAGACGGGCAGCAGACGAGAGAGAAATTGCAAAAGTTTCCACTTCAATAATTTGTGTATCTCTCTCGGCGTGTAGGAGGCCAGTTGTTGTACACGTTGGGGAAGACGGGCTCATTAGAAGAGGGCAAGGAAGAGATCAGGGAAACACTTTTGAGTGGAACTGCTCTTAAAAAGTTTAAAGACATGTTGGTGAGTCAGGGAACGAAGGAGAGCGTGGCGCACGACCTGTGTCACGGAGACATGTGGAAACACTTACCCAAGGCGGAGAAAGTTGTGGAAATCCTTTCGCCCACTGCAGGTTTGCAATGAACAGCACTTTGGAGAAAGTGGAGCGAGGAGATAAATGAGTATAATTGCTGTCTCCTCTTTCCCCTCTTGGTATAATTGCAGGCTATGTGAAAGACATTGACGCGTTGGGGATCGCCACATTGTGTCACAGGCTCGGATGTGGGAGAACTTGTCCAGGAAGTCCGGTGAAATTTGAGCCGGGAGTCATCCTTCTGAAGAAGCCGGGGGAGAGAGTGGCGGAGAAGGAGGTTCTCCTTCAAGTACACTTACCAAATGACTACTCGGATAATCCCGTGCTCTGGAGTGAAGACCAAGTCCTCGATATGTTCACGTTTCACCCCGATGAACCCGCTCCTAAGCCACTCGTCGTCAAAATGTTGTAGACAAATGGACGTAACAATAATTGAAGGTGACGAAAAGGGTGCTTGAGATGTTAAAGTATTTAGAAATAAAGAATTTCCAGGAAAACATTCGATATGGATTTGATGATTTGTGACGACAACTACTTAAATACGGATTTAATGATTTGTGACTGCTTACTTGTGATGGGTTGGATGTTACATATTCGTAATTTATTGTGGGTTGGAGTAAAAATGAGTACGATATTAAAGGAACAAAGTAGCCGAGATATTTTGTATTTTGCATTTTTATTCAGTATTGCAAATATGTATAACAATTTGACTTAATGCATAACGAGTTGGTTGCAATTGACAATAACCAAGTAATGAAGGCTATTATGTACACCGTGTCGTGTCAGTTCATCTGTTTTTGTGTCTCAACAGTTTACTTACACTTACTATTGAATGGCTATATGGAAAAGACCTCGTTGGAAGAAAGACTACATAACTTGGTTATTGTTTTACAGCGGTTGTGATTCCATAGTTCTTACCAACTTGATAAAGTTGAACGATAAGTTCACAAGGAACCGAAGTAATATTATATACTTTATTATCCAAATATGTAGATTAATCTAACCGAAAAATGATTATACAAGACATTTTATAAAAATATTTGGCAAATCAGTAGACTAAAAAAAATCATAAACTTTAACAATGAACGTACAAGTAATAAAGAGAGAAAGGCAGAACAAGGCTTTAGCAGTAATTCATATATATATATATTTATTTATATAATTAATAAACATCAAAGACATGTCCTTGCCTATGATTGTTCAGTTTGAGTTTGTACTACTTCAAAAAAGTTGAAGACATTTGTATTCCAGTTGTTGTTGCGAGATTCAATATTTACGTGGAATTTTTATCATCTGTGTATCTATGCATATAGTAAACTGTTTTCTCTAATTGACTATTGTTCAGTTATTTTAAATATTACTATTGCATGTATTTAGTAGCGGAGGTTGAACAATTAGGGATTGTACAATCTATTTTGTGTGAAGGTGGGAATTATTTAAAACTATTGTGTAGCTAGACTTACAAAGTAGAGTTGCTAGCTACGTATGTATGTATACTTATTAGCAATTATGAATCTCCTTCCGCTGACAGGAATTTTGACGCGACGACTTGTGCAATACTCTACCTAACTAAAGTATAGTTAATTGTAGCTTTACTTATATAATCAACTGCAATAATTTTGTTTTGGATATTTGGCATCTGATGAGTTTGAAGTTACGACGACTACTTAACGAAAGCTTCTTTCAGCCAGTTCCCAAAGGGTCGAGTTCGGTTCATGAAAAGTTTGGCGTTCTTAAACGAAAGCGGAGTCCCACCACTTGCAGCATGTTGACTTTGGTTTTGCTCATATTGTTCCATCACACGTTGCTCGAATAAACCTGCACAAACATTAATCAGAGTCTCAACATTGTTCAGTGATGATTCACAGGTACCCAAACTGGTCAGCCAGCGAAATCATTATAATAATTGAAAGAAAGACAAATAATTTGCATACCATGTTGATGTGTGTTCCTTAACCGCAACTGTGTAAACTCGTGAAACATTGAGGTTTCTGAAAACCACTCCAAGAAATTTTGCACAGCTTTTGAATCACATGACTTGACGAAGGATTCTCTCTGCAAGTTATGAAATTGAAATAGCTTAAATATTTCTACGATATGCATGCATAGTTCCTGCAATCTGTAAATAAGGGTACCTCAAATATCTTCATCCCATCTTGCTGGACTACAAGGTGATGAGCATGATGGCCCATGGTTTCCACAAACATTCGAATAAAGCATTCACTGATGAGAACATTTTTCGTAGATTCCTTTTGGTCAGTTAGATTCAACACCAATTGTAAAGCATCTCGTAATTTCCGGTGGATCCGTTTGGGTAGAATGGTGCCCTCATCTCCAACACAGCTAATGATTTTATTTTGATCAAGATCCACCACGATGCCCTTGTGGAATAGACAACATTTCGGTTTATTAGTCATCAGCTTAAGTACGGAACGCGATAACAGAATGCGGGCGGTGAGCTCGGTTTACCTCATCCAAGGTTTTATCCCAAGGAGTTTGAGAGCTTCGAAGTACTCCAATTAGAAATGGTGCAGGTGCATCCAGGACATCAGTCATGTTCAAGGGAAGAATTGGAACAAATGTGTGTTGCCAACTAAAAGGGTAGACCATGGATTCCAGCGCTTCCACACACAGGGATAAAGTACTGCAAACACATGCAACGTAATGCCATGAGCAAATACATAAGTAGGCAAACACAAAGTATTGTGTTTCACAAGAACCAATCTCACACCACTACAAAGCAGTGGAACAAGAGTAATACCTTAAAGCTCGACTAATGACGACCACTTTCCTTTCCAAAAGCAAAGAACCGAATATCTTGATCACTATCCCCGAATCCACAGTGGTCAGCAGTGTGACGAGATCTATAATTCAATCAATAAAAGTTAAACTAGTTGTTACGGGGAATGTTGGCCAACATTTCGCCAACCAACTTTTTATATCGGGGTTTATCATCTGAATATGCATAATTTTCACGCGATAAAAGACTTGGGTACCATAAAAACGCTCGCAATTTTATACGTCTCAAATTTGTAATAACATACAACTGCATGCCACAATGCGTCTAATTGTAAAGAACCAGCCGAATTTTAACTTCCAACACTTTCTATTACAAAACTACTCATAGTTCAACCTAATGGACTTTGAGTTTATTTTCACCACAATATTTTCATCACCATTCATTTTATAAATGTATTATCTGAATTATTCCGAATTTACAAATAATAATAACATATCTCATCTCACCTATTTCATCCAAACGGTGATCCACTCGTCGTTTTATGCTCACTGTCTTGGTAGGAGACAGGGAAAAGTTGTTGTAGCAGTTGGTGATTACGGTAGAATCATGGCCTTGATGATGGTGTTGAGATTGATATAAATCTTCCACGGTGGGCTCGGTGATTGTGATATTTCCACCCGTGAGCGGAAACTGTTTTTTGTACAGTTCCTCCATCCAAAAGCGCTTCTGATATTCACTGTACCCATGTCGGAGTGTGATTTCCCTCAAGACCTGGACACATCATACGTGAGAATGAAGGGTCCGAAAAATTGGCAAACGTTACAAATAAGAAAGGTTTATTTATTTAATTAAACGCACCTCTCTGTAAAATCCGATGGCTCGGTGTGAGCTGATGACACAGTAAGTGATTGGAATACAGATATTCGCCCCCTCGGGCAGGATCCGATAACAACACCCAAACTTTCTCGACCCTCTTTGATCGGTTATTGCCAGGGTGTAAAACTGAGCAGAGGTTCCCTCGTGACACGGCCATTCCAGTGAATCAGGAAAGCAAAATTGTTCCACGCCCGATGGAAGTTTGGCCTGGGAAAGGAGGAAACTTGTGTTACGTCAATTCACCCGAAACCAATTTAATAGTAAAATGATCCGTGAGCATTTGATGTAATTTTGACAAATTAGGTTATCCTCGTAAATATGTAACACTCATCATCCAACTATGTCTACACCATTTGATTAGCTTTGTACTTATCATCAACTATAAACATAACGTAGCTACCAACTATGGAACCCTTCTTCCATCAAATAACACAAAGGTTGAGAAGTAGAACCTGTCGTCCACCTCATATTATCATCATCATCATCATAACCATCATCATTTTTTGATGATCAACACCCTCTTGAAATCCCAGAGGGGTAAAAAGGTCTGGGCTGATATGTACCTAGATGCATACATGCACTGCTTGTCATGTCATTTCCATCTTGTCAAACAGCCCATCGACCCGAACTCACTAAATCTACGAGAGCATCATCATCATCATCTTGTGGGTAACAATTCTATTGAAAGATTTTTGTGGACGATGATATTGTGATGTGGTTGAAAGGTCAGAACGTATCTTGGTTTGTTACACAACAGGAATGTTAATCCCTATAAATCACCTGAGACGATTTTAATAAGCGTAATCTCTCCACCTACTTATGTAGAATACGGCACAGAACACCGATTTCTGTGTGTGTGTAGTCAATGCCCAATAGGTAACACAACTGTCATGACGTGTCATCTCTCTTTCCAAGCTTGCTTGACTTGAACCTAACAATTGAAGTGATGCGTAATCTAAACAGCCACGCCTACAAAAAAACGACAACCTTGCAGCCGTAAGTTTAATCCAAATAATCGTCTACACGGATTGGAATTTTTGAACTTTCGACACAAAACCAATGTTTCGTAATCTTTACAAGTCTGTAAAATACTCACAATGGAATGGTTCGGATTATAATTTTGTCAGAGTAAAAATCTTACATTTGGTGGAAACTTGTCTCGAATGTACGAGTGATATACGCCCGTGTAAGGATCACGATTTAATCCAACGACCAGTAGACATTCAAACAATGGTTCTGTGGAGTGAGGCTTCTTGCTATTTTGAATCAGTCTGTTCAGGGAGGCACCCAATTCTTGAACTCGGATGCTGGATACTCGACGCACGTATCCTTTACGGGCTTCGACCACCTGAAAAAAAATAAAAATAAGGCATAAATAATATGAACTATGTATTACTTAATTGTAACTAATAACCAAAATTGTAACCAATATCTGCAAATATGTACAACTAAACAGTCTATTTCGACCTTCTGAACGATCGAAATCGCTAAAATCACGTCTCATCATCCATATTTCCAATACGCTAACCTTTGCAAATTCTGCAAACGTATGATACAGTCAAGTCCTCGTCCATGTGCTGATTTGAGTGATCAAACAATCGAATCACGAAAACTAAAATTAAACCTTCATCATTTCAGATTTCATCTCCAACTGCAAAATAGAAACCATCCTCCTCTCCATCCGACATGAATAAGCTGATTTTCTGTCGAATGTTCTATGAAGCAATTTGATCTCGGTTTCGAGGCTTCGAGGTATAAACAAAATAGTCGAATGAAAACCACTTTCCAAAGATTGTGTAGTTACGTAAAGCAGGCTATTGCATTAAAGTATTAAATATATCTCTCCCTGGGTTTAAACCCATTGAAGAGCTTACACTCACTGTGTACCCTTAACAGCCCATTGTGCATTGTCAGTTTAATCCGTCCGTCCTGCTCTTCCAGACTCTGCTCCGACTATGAGTAACGGTTTGACAACACGTAGGCAGGCACTGGTATATCGAGATGAAAGCGGAACAGGAAATGGTGGGTAAAAGTAAAGTGATAATTTACCGAACGCACCTTATGGTTTCTGCAACAATGGCTAAAAAATATTCTGCCGTTGTTGTTGTAATCGAGATGCGCTTCAATACATCATTCAGTGCTCGCTCCTTTGAAAAGATAGCATCTCGTATACTCTCATTCTTAATAGATTTCCTTTCACAGCCACAACAGGTCAAAGTTCTGCACGCACAGATCGTACTGAAACTGAAATCATGCCCCATCCATCCATGAGCCTACCTGCCTGCCTACCACCTCACCTTGCCAATTCGATCAACAACATTAATAACAATAATAATAGAAAGAGTAATGGTGAACAGCGAGAGGTTAAATGCCAGCAGCACAGCAAATATGGGATAGCACGTACACTAATAATAAGCGATTCCATCCACCCGTGCAAAACGAAAGGAACATTGAGACTGGAGATTGAGAAGATAAGCATGTAAAATCACGGACCAAAGGACAACATGGGCACCTCGTATTGTTAAAAAAGATGGGATATGAGAGGAATACGCCACGTGATGTGAAAATCTATTCATCGTAGCCCAAAAATAGACGATAGTGATTACAATTTGCTTCACGTTTGCAATCGTCCCACACTCGTAGCAAGTGATGAGCTGTCAAATGCAGATTGTAGCCTTTGAAGAGCATCTTCTCCTCTGCACACGTGATGACCAGTTCCATCAATAAATACGTTACAGTGTCTGAAACACATTGTTCGAAACAGCATTTTCTACAAATTCGCAGCAGTGAAAGTAAACCCTACGAATATTCGCACATAGCCATTATTCTCCCATCATAATTACCAATGTCATGAAATTGTCAGCCCTGGCATCATCGTATCATCACACAATGTCAACTTTGTTCTATTGGAATGTTCTTTTGGAAGTTGAGATCTAAAGATGATTATCTCATTTCGTAGCGTAAAACCAAAACCAGCATATTATTGTATGAACTTGCGTATGTACATATTCTTCCAGATGCAGATGTCTGGTTAGCATAATAATAATAATTCTGAGCTCTCTCATGACGGGATGACATGTCGGTCTTCCCATTGCAGCGAGCTCGTCAGCCATAAAATAAAACTGAAAGCTCCCTTCGTTCGACGAGTCACTCATGCATCTCAAGCAGAAGAAAATAAAAATAGGAACGACGTGCTAAGCTATAAACCCGTTAGTTATGGCTGCGAAAATAAAAATGATGTTTCATGGTCCGGTACAAACAATAAATAGAGGAATTGTAAAAAACTGTTAGTTTTAAAGCAAGAAATGTGTGTGTGTGTGTGTGTGTCCGTCTATATGCATCCGTCCGTCCATCAATCTGAAATCTTTGGGGTTTGCATGCATAACTTATCCCGTACCTGTTTCACCTTCGGATTGATGATGTTTTTTGAGAGTTATTACTTGGATGAATCTACGAAATCATACGTTATTTCCCACATCTCAACTGAAAACTCAATTTGTCGTCATTAGGAAAATTCTGTCCAAGTGAAAATTACAGGTTGTATGAACAACTGCCATAGCGAGCCAGTCAGGCAGGAAGATAAATAAATGCGGAATAAATAGCAAAAGATATCATCAGGGTCAGTTAGCCCGTTGCAAACGCTGTGTTTGCGTGTGTGTGTGTGAGCAGCCCGAGTTTCTTGTCTTGCTAACGATGTGTGTTATCATCCCAAAACGTAGATTCAAGCCCGATCTGGATTTTTATGTAATTTAATAAATTAGTTTACATTCATTCTTCAAGATTTCTCTAGCCTGCATTTAAACGAATGCAAGTCAACCTGATTTGCATTTAAGTACATGCAAATTTTAGGAGGAGATCCACATTCGAACGTGTTTATTATTGCCAATATAATACGTCGAATGAGTGCAGGCAGGCAGACAAAAAAAGGTGAGAATTTGACGCCAAAAAGAACTCTGTTCGTGTAAGAATTTGCACGGATTTTACCATTTTTACCAGAGATTTTTATAAACCCTTGGCCCGGTTTTGGAAAAAAATGGCGTGGCTGCTTTATATAATTTGCGGATTTAATGCATAGATCATTAAACCGCAACGAAGCGATCAGACCGTGTTGTAAGCCAGCTTCCTGTTCATACACGTTTGTCATCATCGTCATTCATCAATCAGCTAAACTTGTGTACACATGAGAACGCAAATGGAAACTTATATTCATCATGATCAACCAAGTGGATGCAATCAACAAGCTTTTTTCCACCATTATTACTACCAAATTTTAGTGACAGAAGTGGAATAAAAGTGCGAAATCATCTCACATCAAATAAAGCCAGGCCGGATTTGGAATGGGGTAGGCACGTAATAAATAACAGGAAACACGGGGACTCTCGCCAACATGAATATATCCCAGGAATAACTCCTCCAAAACTAATCCATCTCAAACAATGGAATTACGAGTGACTGGCTGTTTACAGTCCTTCATGAAATGCATGATGGACACTACAATATGGGAAAAGAAGTGTAAAAGTGGCGAAATATTTATTAATTTTCTAAGAAAAAGTAACAGATGCAAAACCAAACAAGTCGAGTTTTACTGAAGCATTAATACATATATGTCAGCATAACGGTCAGTTATTTAACCCTGATTTCTAATTTATAAAAATTCCACAAATATGAGAATTAGCAAAATGAAATGAACTGACAACAATGAGATGCAGTTAAATCGCTAGGAAATGCCTGTCATAAAAATTTGAATGTAATTTTTCCTGTATTTTTTATTGTACTACCCAAATTTATTTGTTTTACTTTTTATTATATTGGATTCCATAATCCGTTGTGGTCTTATGGGATACCCAAATTCGACAACTTGCACAATTTCGGAATTGCTGATGTAATAGGAATCTTGTAATAATTCTACGTTAAATAATTTTACGATGGAGTAAAACCACTCTTTAGACGCCAAGCAAAACAAAACAAAACTGCCAATTGAAATTCTTTACGGCAGACACCGTAATAACGAGGTAATTTAATTTACTTAATGAAAATTTACTCAATCAGCAAGTACTTATCGGCAAGATAACGATATATAAATTATGAAATTAGTGGTCTCGACAAATCCTCAAGTTATTAAAATTAGCCGTATTTTATTACACGCAATAAGCCACGTACATATTTTCCTGTCAATTTACCATGTACCATTCCGATTTCTATTATTTGACCATATCAATAAATCACGCTGAGTAACATCAACACATACGTTTTAGAAATCATTAACGTTACCAGTAAATTTAGAGGTTTAGAGGTTATGCATTCCAACCAAAGTCGTAAAATTTTGCCACGCAATCTGCATCAATCAATTCATTAATTGTCACTTATTGTTTTAAAAGAATGCGTCGCATTTCAATTAGTGGAATGTTTTGTAAACCATACAACAATTACTTTTAGCCGCCCGTCCAGTCGACTAGAAAGTAATCGACAATTTATTGTACGCCTAAACACAATTGTTATATCATGAAATCAGTCAAGTTGTTGATGCCAGTTCAGGAATGTGCTGTAGGAAAAAATGCGTGTTGACTCGCTGTACGTGTATTATGTCGGTTGATGAAAGGCGTAACTTTTGTCCAACACGCGTAATGTAATAATAATTCAGAGTAGAAAAAAAGATCCAGTTCTGACACTTGTTTTGGTTTTTATTTCATCGAAGGTTGCCTAAGTTCCTGGTTCGTTTTTTTCTTATTAAACAGGCCCACCTCCACCTTTACCTACCCCATCATCATTACTTATTTTGCCACGACTCCTCCACTGCAGTCTGAGATCATTAAGTGATAAGTATGGAGCAGCAGACGGAATGATAATAAATGGCGTAAAGTGCACTAAATCATTCATTATTATTTCCACTCCTCACCAGCCACAGTAGTACTCGCATTAGGGGAGACAATAAGCAGTTGTAAAAGTCAGGCTATGATTTTAGGCTGTTAGTAAACCTTCCTAATCACAATAATTTATGCTTGAACGGTGTCCATCGATAGTTGAAGAGGGAAGAAAATGATGTAAAATTAGTTAAAAACTAATTAATTAGTATGACTATCCATTTGACAGGCTGCTTGTTGTTGGCAAGAATACGGATGAGGGAGAGCTTTTTGTCTACGGTAAAGTAGATACATGGATAACAATACCATCAACGGGATAAAAAGTGACCGTGATACTTGTTAATTTCATCATGTCATGAATTCAGGGGTGGTGATCGACTTGACGATGCAGGCTCACGACGAGCCGTATTTTTGTGTTCATTATGTTTAACTTTAAGGATTTTCAGGTGAGGATGTACATCGTTCGTGTAGCAGTTTAATTCGTTGTTTTTTAGAAACTTGTGACTCGTCAAGAATGTAATAATACTACTTATTAGTTCCGTGAAGCTATTATTCGCATTCCAGCAAAAATAATTTTGATTCATGGTGAATCAAGGTACGTTCATTAGATGAATAACTATCATCATCACTTTGCAACAGAGTTGCAAATGTACAAATATATAAGCATTTTCATTATTGATCCATGTAGAGGCCAGTCAGAAAAAAAATTCCAAAACAAAGAACTCGCTCGTTGAGAGATTTCTGAGATTTCTTCCCAAATCATACATACACAATAATAAACTACTCTTCGAAAACCTGTGATTATCATTCTTGAGGCATGAGTCGTATTCCTCAACTTGAATCAGATGAATCATTATTAGATGTGTGTACGGCCGTCATCGAAAATCAGCAAAAAAAGGTGTTTGCTGACTCGCCAATGCAACAATAAGGTGGTTAACGAGAATGTAGTGTAGGAATGAGAAATAACGGTATAGTGCAAAAATTTGGTGACCCCGGTCTCCATCGAAGGAAACATTTCCCGGTATAGCCCCAGACGTACTCCTTTGTACTACGCGACCACCATATCAATGCACCCGTCAAATCTCACTCATACTTTTCTTCCCCACAGTAGAGATCTCAATACGTTGTTTTACCAGACCTTGCCTCAAGTGCATGTGTGTGACTTGGAGCAATTTTGGTATAAATCATTTTCCGTCTACCAACTTTCAGCATATTCATCTCCTGGTAAATACTGACTAAATAGCAGACAAATCTATGTACTGCTTGACCAGTCATAATAACAGAACGTGAGATATGACGACAAAAATACAAGTAGGAAGGACAACCATTCTTAGGACTCCTTATCAAAAATGGATTACAGAATTTCTAATTACGACTAATGGAGAACCACCTCCATCTGCGAATTCATCTTCTCTCTCACTCAAGTAAATATTTTAATTAATCTCACCTGTCTCGCTGTATTTATAGTTTCGCCATCATTTTCACAGTCCGAGTCGCCAGTGTCTGTGGTGGAGTCACCAACAGGTGTGTCACAGGACGACAGACTCTCAGACCCCAATTGAATACCAGAGTCTGTACTAGAAGTGGCATCCTTTATTGTGGACGAGGCCGAAAATAGTTGATTCACCAGGTTCTGAATCTGTCAAACAAACAAACAAACAAATCACAATTAGTTTCATCCGGTTGTTGAATCATCAAATAAATACCAACACACTATCTGTTACTACTTCAATCACAAACGTAATTGAGATCAGGGTGGTCTCTCGCAATAAATAAATGACGTCGAATTCAACAACGAATAAATTCACGGCAACACATCTGAAATCTATCGTTACATTATGTTATGCGTTATCTACGATACGTGTAATGCCCACGCTTTGAAAGTTGATTGATATGTAAGCAACAATCATGAGAGTCACTGCATTTATTTTTATTTGGAACAAGTGACTTTGACGAAATCATTGGTCGCTAGAAATCAATAGTTGAGGAATGAAAGATCCAAACATAATCTTGAGATGTCACCAATCGTAATGATTTCGTGTTTTTCTATGCACTCTCAAAAGTCACCTTGTGACCTTGCCAGCACCAACTAGGCACTGTTTAGTTATGCTTTCCAACATTTGAATATGCTGAACAATTAAATCCGACTCGAGAGATTTAGTTCGCCTTTGAATGCAATTTACTAGAATAATTTACGACTCATTTAATCCGGTTGTCAAACTATCCACCATCAACAACAGCATTTATTTTTTCCTACTTACATCGTGCATGTAAGCCATCAATTTAGCGAGTGAGATACGGTTTCAATAATGGGTTTAGTTATTGATTTTATTGCTCTACAAGTCTAACTAAACCAGCATTATTCATTTGTCGTCAGCTCTATTGCTGCGACCGCAACGAACATAAAGTAATTCTAAGACTTATTATTACACAAAAAATGCAATGTTAAACTTGACACAAGGAAAACTTTGCTTAAGATGAACTCTCCAAATAAATAGGACCAAGCCAATTTAATGACTTATCGCTTGTAAACCTACAAAACGTTAATTTGAACTCACCCAGGACAAATAGCAAAAGGGTTAAAATTTACGACAATAATTCGTCATTGCATTCTGCATCATTACTGTTTCCACTACAAAAATATGTATAACGTTTCATTTGCAAATCAGCAAATCTCCTAAGACAACGTCCCGTACAAGAAAATGCTGGTAGATATGATTTCCGTATACATATTTGATTAGCAGTGTTAACATCGTCCAAGTTGGCGTCAGTCAGTCAGTCAGGCAGTCCCGTAACAGATAAATTGCTGTGATGCTATAAGTCGTGTGGGTTTGGTTCATTGAGGCTGTGACTATTTTTGGGATTCATTACCATTTATATTTTATTTTACTTCTTGTCGCTGATTGAGATAGGTGTTGTTAGTTACGTTGGGACGAGATCAGTCTGGTGGTCGAGACTAGATAAGAGGTGTATTAATACAAGTAACGGCATGTGCAGGCAAAAGACACACAAAACTATTGCTTGCCATTATGTCTGCAGTTTTTTTTCCATTCACTCCTCTTCTCCTCAACAATGGTGAGGCAACGGAGTCGTCACATCGCATTTCTTACTGGGTGGGTGGTTCCCATCTCAGTCTGATTAGATTAGTGGATTACAACCAAGTGATGATGCATCGCTTTCCCGACTCGAGGAGACACAACGTCATAAATAAAAATTTAACGCCTTCTAGGAAATAATTTATTTTCCCACTAGTTGCGAAAACTAGAAAGCAATTATTGTATATATTTTTTCCCCTCTACTTAATTGCGATATCTCAGTCATCTCTTTTACAGATTATCAACAACTGCAATTATGTCCTACGTAAGAAAGCAATATACAATCTCTTCTCAAAAACTACCGCATTTATTGACACTACTTTAAAGTGTTTTTTGTACGCGTACTACTACTCTTCTTATCCCATGAATGCACACACACAGCAGATAAGAGACAAGTCAGCGCAACAAAGAGAGTGATGTAATGAAATGACGATACGATATTATAAGTACCGTTTGTACTTAAAGATTTGAAACGTCAAAAATTGCAGGTGAAAAAGCAGGTGCTTCTGCTCGTAGATTTTTTTTTGCCGTCAATGGAATCACATCACTTGCGGTATCATTTTAGTCCGCAGGAGAGAGAGAATCCACATGTCCTGTACTTTTTTATTATTATCATCTGACTGAACTGCTGCCGTACTCATATTCGATTCCTCCTCTTCGTACATGTGACCAACATCTCGAAACTCATCTAATCTTCTGGCATAACAAATGCTTCATTTCATTCGGCAAATAAGAAAAATTTATCTCGTACCATCTTTAAGCAGCGGAGATTAACTGCGTCCTGCAACATTCAGTGAGTACCACGGAGCACAAAGCAATAACGTATATAACCAAGTTTTGTAAAGGAAATTCGGTTCGGATATTATTGAATGAAAAATTGTGAGCAGAAATGAAACGGGATTGCATGGTTGAATTGTTGAGGAAAATATTTACTGTTGACTGTTATAACTAAACTCGAAAGGAATGCAATAAGTCATTTATTACGGAAAAAAATTCACCCGAATGTAGAATAATGTAATGATCACCATCATCATAACACAGCATGTTGATTGTTGGTGATGAGAGAGACCACACAAAGTCTGGCCGAGAAGATCACCAATCACGGAGGTGGCAATGAGACAAATGCAGATTGCGGACAGACAGACAATAACTTGTAAAAAGTGCTGGAGGGAAATAATACCGTCATTCATTCATCGGGTACCAGCATGGTTTTACTTTTCACGTTTCTCGCATCTGAGTGAATAGTGATCATCAATAAAGCCACGGGATCATTTATCAGTTTCATCCTTGGACCAAGATGAGACAACGAGTATTAATAATTGCTTAAGTACACGTATTAAAAATCATACCATTTACTTATGCATGGTAGAATTTCGTACATTTGAGAATATTTGCTTTGTGTGTCGATGTATAACGGGAAATTAAAATATGCAGCAAATACGTAACCTCTCCTCTCCGCCTCTGGGGTCGACCATTCAAATTAAAACTCTCTTAATCATAAATTATTGAGTTGAAATTAAAGAAAGAAAGAAATTCACTTTCGTTCAGTCATGCCTATTTTTACGACTGAGTACGCATCTAAAGTAGATTTTATTCTAATTACGTCACTCAATCACTATTTCAATTCCTTGGTTGCAATGTGAAGTTAACTAGAATCCAAGTAAGTAACAACTGTTCACAAAAGAACAAAGGACTTTCAATTCATAGTTTAGTTTATGTTATTGACTTGACAAATTTGGCCCGTTTTCTGTATTGTTATAAATTAAGGTTGCAAATATATGCGTGTATGAGAAGGAATTCCAAGTCACGTGGTATCGCACATACGTGAGTGAGTGAGTGAGTGAGTGAATGAAAGCATGAATGAATAAATTCCCTTAAGGCTCTGACTGACTGACTGTAATCGAAAGAAAAGAAACGCACGTTGTCTACCTGTTCAACGGACAGGCCGAGTAATAAACAATCTTCCTTCTGCTCAACTTATTTTGTGCTTAAAACACCTCTGAAAGAAAGCCTGTCGTTCTTCCTCCTCCTCCTCCTCAGACTAAAGTAAGGCAAAAGTGGTTCATTTATTCGCGTTTCCTCGGGTTGTGCTTTCTTCTTGTCACAACTGAATAAGATTAATGAGACGGCGTTGTTGTTGTGGTGCTATCTTCAACAAAATCTGCACAACTCGTCGTCTTCTTCCTCTGAGAACCTTCACTTGCCACAATTTCACTTCACTTTTGTAATTCGTGAATCATGTACTTTTTTTTGGATGAGATGGGATGAGGAGGTGAATCAGAGTATTAAATCGTAATAGTGGGCAAATAATATGCAAATATGGTTAAAAAATCCTTTGATCCCAGTCAACAAAAATGAGTTTGGGGTTGAACACCAAAATCAAGATCCAGCAGAGAGAAGAGCATAAAGAATCGAAAGGCCTCAAGCAAACAAATCGTGGTGTTATCTTCATTGACTGTGGGTTAAATTATGCTGATAAACGGGCGTAATCTGTGCAGATACGAACAAGAAATTTTACTTTTTAACCAGTTTATCAAAAAAGGAACAAAAACGTGCTGCACTTGACAGAAAACGCTTAAAGACAAATGAAGCGAAATTAAGTACAAGTTTAAAACTTGGTTTGTTATGAGAAGTCACTTTCCTTATCGTCCAGGTCTGTACTTCATCGACTTTTATTTCATAAACCAGACGAGTAATAGTGCGTAAACGGTAAGATTATGCTGAGAAGGAGTTTAGCAAGATTCTAATGCGTATTTTCTTGTAAATCGCATAACATATTTATTTCATTTTACTGATGAGTGAACAAATTTCCATTTCCAACGGAAATTTAAAATACAGTTAAGCAAGTAAAGAAGGTTGTCATTTGTTACGCTAGGGCGTAATCAATTTTTACGAATAAATTGAGAACACCACAAAGATTCGCCACCCATCTTGCACCTCCACATTCTAAATATAGCCTGAAAAGATATTACGGCATGCAAGTTAAAAATAACGAAATCAATTTGCACCATACATCGTTGACACCGGTGTTTAAAGTTTCTTCTAAACAAACAAATGTCTCATCATAAAACGAGACGCAATCCTTAGAACCTGCTGCATACGCCGACAGACCGGAAACCACGTAAAGGTTGGCTCTGTGCAAATTAAATAAAATTCTACAATAACCAAACCCGTGGAAAACAGTGGTTTCACTCGACAGCTCTCGTCGTAAAGCAGGGAGTAAGTAATAGACGGTTTGTTTCTGTTAAATAAATGCAAACAGAATGACAGCAAACTGTCAAAAAGCTTTCATACGCTCGTATTACATGTTTAACTCCATTTTGAAATTAATCCGTCTGTCCGTCGTTGTCTGTGAGGTGGTCGTGTTGAAGACAATAATAATTTTATCTCGAGTCTGCATTACGCCAGTCAGGGCAATTTTTGTGCAAAATGTCTAAATGCTGAAATGATAGAAAGGGAAACTTAGTTGAATATTTAATTGTACTTTCGAAAATTAAGTGCAGTTCACAAAATTAGTCGGTACAAAGGAATTCCTTCTATGTGC